CTTTGGAAGGATTGAGATAGTATAAGAACCAATTTGCTAGGATTTGATATGCGCGCGGTGGGCTTTTGTATCGAGAATGCACTATTGATTTTTGGAACGCAGGAAGTTTAAACTTTCTGAATGATTGCATCCCTCGTTTTTTAAGGATTAGTTTGTTCCAGAGTCTATTGAGTTTTATGCATTTTCTTTTATTTGACTAAGGGCCAGGAGTAGAAATAGCTTGCAAATACGGCGCACTGGCACTGACTGAATCAAACATGAGTGACGCGCATGTTGATTTTTTTTTTTTTTTTTTTTTTTGCTAACAGGCATGTATTTCCAATTTCCGAATTAACGATACTTTTGTGACGTAAAATTCCATTAAACTTTTACTTTCAAATCAGTATTAGAAGGATAAGTTTGTGAGCTTCAAGGATGTATTTTGAGAACTTTATCTTGGAAGCAGACTATCGAAAAAAGGCACAAAGACATTATAAACGTACTCTCTCTCTTTCTCTCTCTCTCTCTCCCTCCCTCCCTCCCTCCCTCCCTCCCTCCCTCCCTCCCTCCCTCCTCCCCCCCCTCTCTCTCTCTCTCTTCTCTCTCTCTCTCTCTCTCTCTCTCTCTCTCTCTCTCTCTCTCTCTCTCTCTCTCTCTCTCTCTCTCTCTCTCTCTCTCCCCACCCCTCTCTCTCTCTCTCTCTGTCTCTCTCTCTCTCTCTCTCTCTCTCTCTCTCTCTCTCTCTCTCTCTCTCTCTCTCTCTCTCTCTCTCCCCTCTCTATCTATCTATCTACCACTCTCTCTCTCTATCTTTCTCTTTCTCTTTATCTATTTGTATTCATATCATATGAAGAAAATATATATCCATTCAATTTATAAACACACACACTATCTACTGTGTGTATATATACACCTCTGTATATCTACCTATCTATCTATATCTATCTAACTTTCTCTCTATACCCATATCATATACAGAAATACATAGTTATTTAATTTGATAACGAATCATTTTTATCATATTTCTCAACCTTAATTACTTTCCCTATTCATTGTTCAATATGATACCTTGTTCTCGTTAAACCAATGATCACATAACATTCACTCACTGTATGTTATAGTGACTTCTCATACCCCCGTTATGAACATATCCATCGCTAGCTTTCCCCGACTATTCTGATCCACTCAATTAATCAAACCCCGCAGATTAAAAGAAAAAGAGAAAAAAAAAGAAAGAAAGAAAAAAAAAAGAAGGCACAGGCATAAACAAGAACGATTGGCTTTGCTGCTGAACTTTACGGATTAAACGAAAGAAAAAAAAAAAAAAAAAATCCTCCACCAGGATACAGTTTCGACATGTCGGGGTGTGCATGCTGTTTCCACGGGCACACGTTGTTGGCTGGAGTATTTACACGCTCAAAATTTAAGTCTTTCGAAGGGCTGAAGGAAGGGACGGAGGAAGGATGGAGGCGGAGGTAGAAAATGCGAGGAAGTAGGAGAGGGAGAGGAAGAGAGGAAAGAAGTGGTGGAAGAAAATGGAGATGAAAGGAGATGGTGAGAATTATGTCTATAGAGAGGGAGGGAGGGAAAGAAGGAAGGACGGAAGGGAAGGAAGGAAGGGAGGGAGGGAGGGAGGGAGGGAGGAAGGAAAGAAGGAAGGAAGGAAAGAAGGAAGGAGAGAGAGAGAGAGAGAGAGAGAGAGAGAGAGAGAGAGAGAGCGAGCAGAAATAACAGACACACAGAGAAAACAAGAAAGTGAAAGGGCAAAAAAAAGAAAAAAAAAAGGAAGAGATGAAAAAACACCACAGAGAAAGCCAGAGAAGCAGAAAGAATCACAAAGACAAAACACAAAACAAGACACACGCTAAATAAAAAGGAGGCAATGCAGAACCAAGCAAAACAAAAAGAAAAGAAAAAAAAAGGATCAAGACAACACCGGAGAGGCCCAGCCACGCCCAAAGGAAAGCCAGAAACCCTATGAAAGGGGCGCTGAATGAATCCTCCTTGCCAGACGCGGTCCCCATGGCTACAGGGACAGCGTAGTAAGCAGGGACGAGAGAAGGGGAGAGGGAGGGGCAGGGGTAGGGAGGGTGAGACGGAGAGGAGGAGGGAGGGGAGGCAGGGTGGGAGGAGAGGAGGAGGGAGGGTAGGAGAGGAGGAGGGAGGGTGGGAGAGGAGGAGGGAAGGGGGGAGAGGAGGAGGGAAGGGGGGAGAGGAGGAGGGAAGGGGGGGGAAGGAGGAGGGAAGGGGGGGGAGGAGGAGGGAAAGGGGGAGAGGAGAGGGAGAGAGGAGAGGAGGAGGGAAGGGGGGAGAAGAGGGGGGAGAGGAGGAGGGAAGGGGGGGAAGGAGGAGGGAAGGGGGGGGAGGAGGAGGGAAAGGGGGAGAGGGAGAGGGAGAGAGGAGAGGAGGAGGGAAGGGGGGAGAGGAGGAGGTTGGGAGGAGAGGAGGAGGGAAGGGGGGAGAGGAGGAGGGAAGGTGGGAGACGAGGAGGGAGGGTGGAAGAGGAAGAGGGAGGGAGGAG